TCTTTATAATAAGATCTAGCCCTGGACAGTGTGCTCAGTGGTAAGATCATGGGCCCACCCATTAAAGGGTTGCAGGTTCAATTCCTAGTCAAGGAGCATGCACCTGGGTTGCAGGTTTGATACCCGGCCCCGGTTGGAGCACATGCGGGAGGCAACCAATCAATGTGTCTCTCTCATATCGATGTTTCTCTCTTTCCCCCTCCCTCCCTTCCACACTCTCTAAAAAATCAATGGAAAAAAATCCTTGGGTGAGGATGAACACTATATATATAATAAAATCTAGAAATGGACTTGAAATCATGTATGCCCCATAAAGATAAAGCTAAGAGTTGAGAAAACTGAGGCCAAACACAGGCACACACCCAAAATGATACCACACAGTTCCCATAGGTGCTGTGAGCTGCCTGGTGGCCAAAGCAAAAAAGAAAACACAATTACAGTTTGCTTTGCTAAAATACCCACAGGCGGCTACAATGCAGATGCAGCTTATTTTGAGCCTAGTGCCTCGCAGTCCAAGGTCCTGAGGAGGACATAGGAGGGGCACGCGGGAGAGAAAACTGCTGAAGTGTCGGCCCCTACTCCGGAGATTTGGAGTGGGGTCTAGGAGCCTGTGTTTGCACAGAGCTCCCTGGTGATCTGGATGCACAGTCAGAAGTGGAAACTGCTGTGGGTCAGATGACCTGTTACCCCCACGTTTCTGCTGTGTGAGCAGGCACGAATGGCCGCACTGCTCTGAGCCAGTCTCCTCGCCTGAGAAACAGGCCCATTAGCGTATTCCAGGAGACACACACGCACGCGCACACATGTGCACACGCGGGCGCTCAGCAGGAAGCTGGTTCACAGAAGGCATGCCCGCTGCCTCTGCACCTCTCCTCAGCTACTAACAACCGCTCTCTGTCCCCATCTTGGGTGATGCCCGAGGGACTGGATTTGAGTCCCTGGGGACAAGCTGAGTTCCCAGCCAGTGCAGGCTGGGAGGAGGGAAATGAGCAACTAGTTCTCAAGGGCCCATTAGCCAGCACCCCCCACGACGGGCCCCGTCTACACTTCCCAAGGTGTGGCTTCCTTTCTGGCAATTAAAGTCTCTCTCCCTCTTTTTGATAAATGCAGAAAAAAAAGTTTTCTGTATTTTTAAAACTCTGTGTCCACAGAACCAAGATGCCGGCTCCGTGCCCAGCTTTTCTCAAAGGTTCAGTAGAATGAAGGGACCAAGTCAAAGGCTCTGGGGTCCAGCTACCACAATCAAGCTGTCCCTTCTCCCCACCCTTCCAAGAGGCAGCTCCTCCTAGAGACCCTGCTGGTGCAGGCAGGCCTGGTGGACGCACAGTACTCTCC